TCACGAGAGCGAAACAGAGGCCTTCTTCTCGTGTTCCCGGTAATATTTTGTCCGCTATGCTGGATATTCCAGAATCAAATTAAGAAACACAATTAACAGTAATTTGAAATAAAAGGAGATTCAGAGAAAGAAAGAAGGACAGCTTATAAAACTTACCGGATATGAAAATTATTATTAAATCGCGGATTGACGAAATGTCAATTGGTACGATTGAGCACAACCTACGTTTCAGATTATTCCAATTAATTAGGCCGTCAATTAACGCGAAACAAACTTGATTATTAGCCTAGAAGATGGAGAAAGAAAAGTCTTCTTGCCATTTTGTATCGTGTAAATGAACTATAAACGGAAGTTTGATTCAGGAAGTCCAGTTCCGCCTTTGTTCTATCTGAAACTCGCACTAATGGTGCCTAACTCAATTCCGTGAGGTCGAAGGTTGGACACGCAACTTGGCGAACTCCTAACTCGACTTTCGAGAGATCCAACTCTATTTGTCGTGCACGAGATAGGGCTGTATATCGCGACCGTTTAAGTAAAAATTACCTTGTCGTCCGGACAAAATGAACTGTGAGAAACGTATCCCTGCTCTACATAGAAAATAATTGGGTAATTTGGGCAAAATTCCAAAGCTTTTATTGTGTTAGATTTATTTAGATTAAATCGAGAACACGAGAGCAATTATTTTAACAATTAATATATTACATAGTTGATTGTCAGAGTTTCAATTTAATGATTACGTCTGTGAAAATCATTTGAAAACTAAAAAACTTAATTGGTTAATAGAACATGAAAAAATAAACAGAAATATCTAAACAAACACAAATTCACAGACTAATCATTTTCATAATATTTAGTTTTTATCATTTGTAATCTAATAGTTTTATGTATGATTAAATATAAAATATCTACAGAAACTGGAATATAAACTGGTGTTAAAACAGTAATAACCAATATATTAACGTTTAATTGGTTTTAATTTTACGAGCAGACACGAAAATTCATAGGTACTATAAAAAAAAAGAAAAAGAAACGCGTCTTCTGAATCAGACAATCGCGTTTAACGTTAAATTCGTAGGTTAGAGGATAAAGGGCAAAGAGGATTTAAACACTCAAAGAATCGCAGACGCTTTAACGATGGCTTCCACAATCTAAACACGATAATGAACCTTGTGAACGTTTCCAAGGCTGCTGGCACTTGCTAGCAAGGGACCTGAGGGATTCTTTTTTTCTGCGGACGATAGTACCGCCTCGGAGGGAGTCCGATAGAGGGTGGAAGAGCTGTCGGTTTCCTTTGCCCTGGTATCCCCCGCGCGAACCACCAAGCAGCTAACTCGATTTCGGCAATTTGTGGACTCGCGAGAGCATTCAACTCTTACGAGCATTCGATCGCATTTAGAGGTAGTAGGCTGCAAACACGTATTCGGCGATCAGAAACTAATAGACTGATAAAAATCAAGGCAGATGAGACAATGGATGACAGAAATTCAAGTTCGAGAAATTAAATCGTAATTTATGAAATTTTATATATATATATGCTATTTCCATATTTTCGAAATCCGACTGAGTTTATATATATATAGACTCAATCAGATTTCGAAAATATGGAAATAACACGGAAGGATACTTTAAGCTTTTCATGGTCAGTAAGTTATTGGTAAAATAGCACATGAATGAAACTATTTCAGCAGCTTCTGAATTTAATCGTTCCTCGTTACGGTTACCGTAATACAATATTGTCAATAAATAGCACGCTTAAATGATAAATCACTCTACGCGACGTAGTCACTGGGTGCTACTTTGGAAATAAACTGACCGAGTTTTCCATCTATCAAAGTATGAAACAGTATCTAAAGCTGGTTCGCGTGATGCTGGATTATTCCTGTTCGTGATATGCACTCGACCTCATGAATTGTACATATGCGAATTGACAAGATGCATTCGTCAGTCTCTTTCTTTTTGCCTTCTTTCAATACCTTATGAAGATCATAAGTGACGTTCAACCTTTCGACCCACGCTATCTGTGCGCTTTTAGCGCAGAGAGACCTGCTCGTATTCGTTCTGCCTGTCCAGCACGTAATTACGCGGCAAATCTCGCGAAATGCGGAAAATAGACACGATGTATATAAGTGACATACATTCACATCCGATTTATTCGTCTGATCATTGAGGGAGTAAGTGGCAAGCAGCGACTTAATTTGGAAGATATAAATTTAGATAGAGCCACCTTCGGGTGTGACACTTCCACTTCGTGCTATCAGCGATGTTTCAACCTTTGCACGTTAAGGATGAGGGAGGAAACGAGTGCATCGTATTTACGTCACATCCCGTGATCGCGATCGACTAGTCGCGAAAAGCAACTAGCAAGAAATAGCCTCACGGAGAGTGAACTTTAAATTAATATCCACGCCGAGGTCTCACGTGGGTGTTTTCGGAAGGATATCAGGTCAGATCGGGCAAATTATAACTCCGGTGTGCTAATAGAACAATATTCGAACACGCGTAATTCGTATCCGGGTTGTCCCAAAGTCTTTCAGTAAAAAATTCCGCGATCTCTGATTGACATTTCTGAAATAATGTCTATATATAAAGATATTGAAATATCATTATCGAAAAGTGGGTGCTTTGCAAGACATTTCATACTTTTTGCTTTTATTTCACGCTTTATTTAAACATCTTAATATTTAATCTTAATATCTATCTAATCTTTAATATAGGACAACATAGGTGTTCTTTTTTCTTTAATACATAAAAAATGAACATTCTTATTTTGAAAGTATCTTTATTTCTGACATGTAAAACCTAAAAATGACCTTAATGACCTTAAAATGAAATTATATATCGTTAAATATTATTATTCAAAAATCATTTCCATGAATGGAAAGCACGAAATATTGAACTGGAAATATGATGTTTTTAAATGTCGGAAGAAGATATCATTATCGCCCAAATAACAATATTGCGTTCTTCTTATGCGACTATCATAACATTCAAGTAAAATTATAACATTGTGTTGAAATTGAATACTTAAAGATTTTTTTAACGAACTTATGTGTGTATGTGTGTGTGTGTGTGTGTATTTCGCTGCTATCAAATAATGATTGTTAATTGAAGTATACTGGTTTTGAGTGGATACCAATTCTTTGCTTACTGTATAAACGGACATATCAAAGTAGAACTCCTCAATTAAATTCTCCTCTCGTTTATCGCATAAGACATCGTTTATCATAAGACACTCACTTTTTCTTCTCTACTGTGGCGAAGCGAATTCTCGGCGATTACACCGGCTTTAATCACCATATGTGTATAACATCCAGTGAGATCACAGGACGTTTTGGACGCGGGCGAGTAGGAATGATAGCGAGATAGATTGCGGATCGCAGCGCGCCATTTGCGCCCGTTAACGCGATACGGCTGAACCGGAGAGCCGGTGGCAAATTCGCCTCGCAAACCACCAGGACACGGACACCGTCGAGACCGGAAACCGCTTGCGGGAGGCGACGACGGCGACACACGAGCCGTTGCGAGAGTACGAGCAGCCACTCGGACGAGCTAACTCGAGGTCGGGCGGATTAAATCGTTGGCACCCGCTATTATGGCGTATATTGGTTACAAGCTTCCCATCTATCGGGTGTCTTGATTAATCCTCCGAAGCTGTGTAAGAAGCCGTCAGGTGAAAGGAGATCCTCTGGCCGCGCAGTGTGTATGTGTGTATGTGTTCCGAAATGTTTAATCTTCAACATATCTTCCTGATAATTATACGATATGAGAAACTGCCTGAATTTATCCGAGATAAGTCTTTTTGTACATAACAAATATTGATTTACTGAAGAATATACTCTCGCAAAGTTAAACACCCACGTGTATATTAAATATGTGCTTGATTTATTTTATATACATCTTATATAACTACATATATGATACACAATCACAGCTTCCGAAACGCGTCGTGTCGTCTATCACGAGCAGTGAAGATTCGAGAGACGCGTCTCCTTGCGAGAGACGTCAAATTCCGCCGAAGGCCGAGTAACTTCCGCGCGAAATTAATTGTCCCTACTGCGGACGAATGTGCCAACGTGAACGAGATTAGTTGCGCGGATAAATCTCGCGGCGAGAGATTGTTCCTTATTATCCTGCCATGACGAATAAGCTCCCTGCCAATTTAGGGATTAACTTGCGACACCCTCGTTTTCGCTGACCGACTCAGCGTTTCCGGGGCGGAATGTCGGCTCGGTCAAAGGGGAGTGAGATTTCGAGAGTCTTTATCGGCGGGGCAGGAACGAGTTAATCGTCGGCCGGAAAACACAGGGCCGAAAGAGTATTAAGATTCTCACGCTAGGGCTCGTGCCAGCTATCGACTTGCTTCTCGCACCCTTTCCCTTTGTCCGCTAATTGTTTTCCGGCGTTTTCTGTCGTAAACAAGTCGCCGTTCTTAAGGAGTCTCGTAAAGCAACCATGAGAGCGCAAACGTCGGCCGGCTCGTCTCTAACGAGCTGACCTATTTTTAACTGAAGCTCACGACTAATTATTATTCAACGTTGTAAGGCGAGGAAAATACGCGGTCGATTTTAATCTTTGAACAGTGATTCTCATAATCTGTATATGCACTATCAAGTCAGAATTGAGATTGTACTAACGGATTAGCGAAGTTAATCGATCGCGCGTAGTTTTCCAATTTTTGGTAACTCGTAACTTCTGGCTGATCGTTTAACAGCGTGAAACTTTCGTTTCCGGACTCGTTTCACAATTTGAACTATCGGTTTAACGATTTCGGATGTGTCGTAATTGAAAAGCTATCAGCGTGCTTCACCGATTCCTCTGACCTTGGTGTATAAATATATCTTTCTCCAATATATGTCTTCTATATTTTTCCAAACAATATAAATAGCAAGCCTAAATACGACGCGTCGTTTAAAGATAGTTCTATTAAAAGTACAGTGGATAAAAATGTACCCTCATTCGTCCTTTCCTCTTTTTAACTTACATCCTTCTTATATTGATAGATGCTGGATGTCAAGGAGGGCGGCAGAGGGGTGTTCGTCTGCAGCAGCCCCGGTCCCGATCCTTATACATCGCAGGACCTCTATAATCCTGTCTACGAGGAGCTCAGCAACGGTAAGTGTCGATAATCGATGTTTACTTTGGTTGGCTTTGCACCGGCGTCTCCTTTTACGCGTCGCGGCTTTCTGCGGTTTCAACCAGAGATCCTCGAGGGCAACAATGCGACGGTGCAGGACAAACACTAAAAGTTTTATCGGGAGAACTTAATCTCAAAAAGATACACTTGAGTTCGATGTTTGAAGCTTCAGATTTAAATTTAACAGATTTATCGATCAATTTCTCTTTGGTTTATTCTACAGAAAGGAAAAGAGAGAGAGAATATATTTCATTAAAAAGATAAAAAATATATATAACATAGCGATACATATTTCAATTTGATTTGAAACAAGTACTTTCACGTCGAGTGGGTCTATCTGCAAGACGATTTCTCTGTAGCTGCTTCATAGAAAAAAGACACACAAATAAAAGCGAACTGTCTTAAGGAACGATATTTGAAGTAAATAAATGAATTTTGCGAATGATTCGCAAAACCGCCGAGATATCCTCCTACCGTCCGGATGACACGTCGAAACGAGCTATTCCCATGCAAACGCAAATCACGCACTATCCTTTTAGATGAGACTTGCCTTTGAAGACGCTGGGGAGCATCTTCGGGGTCGAACATGCCCGCGGGAAACATATAGGTACGGCGTGTACACGAGTTTTCGAAACGGTGTGTCCGTGCCTGTCGGTTGACTTAACACACGATTAACATACGGCTGCGTTGAACAGCGTGAATCCCGCCGACTAACGCGCGCGCGCGCTTGCGAGACTTCCTCGTCTGCCTGTCCCTTTTGGGTCCACCGCGTGCCCCTCCTGCCTCCTGAGATTCTACAGCGGGACTGCATTTATCAGAATAATCCGACAGATTCGCGTATGTCGCGATTTACGGAAAGATGTATGGCGTACGAGAGATATGTGGCGGCAAAAAGAGTCGATGGAACTTTTTAAGGAGATTGGTAGAAAGGATTGTGGAACTGTGAGAATTCGCGTGAAAATCGGAATGTTCGGTCTGCTGAGGTCTACACGAGATTCAACGAGTACACAAATTGAAAATGTATGGAGAAAGAATTCCCACGGCCGAACGTCGATTACAAACAGAGATGGATTCGTAGAATGTAAAATTGACAGTAGCGCTTATAAATGGAAAGAAGCATCTAAAAAATTCTACGAGTCTTTTAAGTATAGAGTCATTGACGAAACCATGTATTTGTGAATGTAAGAATTTATGAACTCCGGGAACGTTGGGATCAGAAATTAATTGAATGTCTAAGAAATCAAACTTCTTCACTTTCTATTTATTTATGAGTGATCGCTTTCCAATCGTTTGCACAAATGAGATTTTAACAAACGTAATTCTATATTTTTTCGCATCTTTTGCTCTTACTTTAATCTTTTCGTAATATCCTCTTTTCTCTCTCTCTCTTTCTCTTCCTTCTTCCTTCTCTCTCTCTTTCTCTCTCTCTCTCTCTGCTGCCCCCTCCTCTTTCAATGATCCCGCTCCTCTCCGCTGTCGTGCATTTTACCGAAGAGAGATAAGCGTGACACGACCTCTGACTTATACTTCCCATTAGTTGGACGGCTAATTAGTATGGTGATGAGGCTTTCGACGTTTGACGAGGTCCCGGTAATCGAATATACATGCTCTACCGCGTGCATTAGTCGCAACCACGGACCCGAGCCCGCGTGTACATACGCCATATGCGTCGTCGTTCTCCAGTTTCGAGACATGAACATCGATCTCGAAGAGGGTGGTCCTGTCCCTCGCGGGCTTGTAAAAACGCTAGGGAATTCAACGGACCGCTGGGATCCGCTCGACGATCACCTCGATGAGGAGGATAAACTGCGCGTTGCGGAATTCATGGTACCAAGACTAAACCGCGTCCATCAAATATGTTATCTCTTACCACCGAGAGATAATTCGAGCAATTCCCGTTATATCGTTTCTCATTGCGCGATTAAGTATTATATTGCACGATATCGACCTATACTCAACAATTGTTTGAGTTATTCTCACCTAAAAATTACTTTTCACTTACAAAAAACGAAAAAATCAAACCAACTTGCGCTAATACACACAGAAAAATACACACTACATTCAAATAAATGTTATTTATTTCTAGTATTTCATAAGTTTATATATCTACTTATATATCAAATATATATATATTTAAGTTCATTATAAATAATAAATTTATTTAAAATACATTCGAAATGCTAGTAAGTTTAGCATTTCAGTCAATAATCTTAAATTAAAATCAATTTGTTTTACATACTACGTAGCGTCAAACCCCCACTTTTTTTCAATAAAATTTTATAATTCTTATAAATAAATTCTTCTTTTTATTTTTTACATGATAATATAAAATTTTTTTAAAATTAACGGTGAGTAGATTTGAAGGCTTGTCAAGGAAATATTCCTTATAGAAAATCCCATTACTTAAAAGGAAAAAAAATTGTGCAATTGCTTTTCTTAGCAGTGAAATAATATTTTTCTGTGTATATACGTATATCGTGCTATTTTTTCGTGGTCGCGAGGTATTCAAGAATGAACAATCATGACCACGTTGGCGGATTATCTTCCTATTCGTAGAAGCATTGAAGAATATTTCGGGAGGACATCCGTTCGCAACGGGGGGATATCTCGAGTGGTTGAATGGCTGGCGGAATGCGAATTCGATGTCAAGCGTGCAGTTAATCGATAACACCTCCGATCTGTACAAAAATAGTTGGCAATCGTACGTCCTCTCCTCTTGTCTCGTTTCCAATTGCATCTCTTTCATCCCTTAGCGAAAGGTAAAAGTTAATCGGACCGATTGAATTGCTCGTCGCTGTCCGCCTCAGCTCCGATATATCCTTTACGCCCGTTACGACTCGATTATTTATACGATATTCCTATTTTTTGTTAACGTGTGACATGCGTACATGCACAGCGATACTAACGCTGTGTCGTTAGTATCGATCGACCGTACACTCGCGCTCGGCAGCGACAGTTCGGCGGCATAACGCGAGGTAATTAACGGGGAAGGCGAGCGAGTCGACCGCCGCGCGTTGTTAGATCGACGAGCGAAATTTCCGCGAAACAAATTCGCTCGACTACGTCGGAATATCGGCAAGACAGACCATGGACGTTCGTATTTAACGGTGAACGCGAGATTTTACGTTGCGACTCAAATCGACTGCTTGAGCTTGTCGTTCACCTTGACCCCGCAAGCGAAAAGTCGAACACACAGAAAAATATCATTCCACTGTTAAGAAAAGCGATTACTCAGTTACTCTCCCTCTCTTAAACAATAGTTATTTTTGACAAATAGTTGTCGAATATATTTCCTTCAAATAACAATCTGAAAATGTACTCGACATAAATTGGAGTTCATTATCATGCACTCAAAAAAGGAATTTATTCTCCTTTCTCAGGAATAATACATACTTTTACCAAAAAAAGTTGTGTCGACTCTATGCAGTAGGTTTTGTTTTAATTTCATATTATTGATTGAAATGCTAAACTTCCTGAGATTCAGGATGCATTTTTAATATATTTGATGTTTATGCGACGAAAATTTGTGATAGATTTGCGACTATATAAACTTATGAGAAACAAGTAACATTTAGTGCAGTGTGTATTTTTTTGGTGTGAACGCTTCGCTCTCCAGGATTGAACGAATGAATCCATTTTTGACGCGAATTCTTTTGCCCGGTCAATATGTGCTAGAGCTTGAAACATCACTGCAATAACACCCAGCATGTGATTCTACGAGGCGTCAGTCCTTTTGACGATCATGTGTCGGGAAAAACAATGTTCCGTTGAGTCAACAGAATTGGTCAACAGCACCGTAATTGGAGTGAATCATCTTGATTCAACAGCAACATTATTGAAACTAATGCTCCAGTTGTTAAAACAATGTATGATGTATTATTAGCTTCAATAATATTGCTATTGAATCGAGAAGATTTACTCTAATTACAGCGCTGTTGATCAATTCTATTGATACACACTTGTTTTTCCATGCGCGCTCGTTACGTGATAATGAAGTCTCATCTGCCCACGCTCACTTCTCTAAACAATCCGCTTTCGTCCAGAAGCTAATCAGCCTGATCGATCATCAGTGCGCGCCCGTTGAAGACCGCATTACTTACCTAGCGCATTACTTACCTAGCGTCTAATTAACCTATATCGATCCCCGTCTGATTTCCGGAGAGATTTATTCGCGACTGATTGTCCAGCCGCCCTGCTCGTTGCGCTTGAGCTAACAAATTTCGTCCTGATCGCAGGGGACCATCCGGAAACGGACGAGGAGAGCGAGCTGAACGCCCGCAATCGCCTGCACCACCACCATCATCATCACCGTCACCATCACCGGGGCACAGCGTCGAAGCCAGCGAGCGAGGACGAGTTTGCCGAGGATGAGTTGTCGGTGGGCGAACCCTCCGAGGCGAGAATGCTCACTTCGAGCAGCGGCCCTACCTGGGGTACGTGTCCGGCCGGTGGCAGGCCACCGCGCGAACGACGCGGCAGAAGCCCCAGGAGTCTCGACCGACGTAGGAGAGACAAGAACCATGACGTGGGCGAGTTCCACGAGGGTATGCTGCTGGACGCGCTGCTTCAACTCTATCCCAGCGTCGCAGGTAAACGAATAGAATTTTATCCTCTCAATTTTATCCTCCCACTAAATTTTAATTATCGCATCCAGCAACGGCTCTTATTAGCCTGTCTAGTTATTTACCTTCAGAGTCTTCGTAATATTTTTCTAAGTTCATTTTCGAGTTGATATATTAACCCTTTAAGGACGAGAGTCGACTGAGCTAACCAATTTAAATCAAGGGAAACCGGATGAAATATTAGTTTAAGAAAGGTCTATTTTTATGTAAGATGATCATATAATTCTACGAATTAGTTGTACATATGAGACTCTCTAAATTCACTTCAATGTTTTATTATCAACGAGCGCTTCTCAGTTGGACGCACAAATGTAGGTCGCGACGGGTTTACCTTAAAGGATTAAAGCGGTTTATTTCACAGGCTGTTTGTGCGTTTAGATTACTTACCACGGTTCCTTTATCATTTTATTTTGTAATCGTTTTGTCACGTATTAAGGAGAGGATTAATAAAAGCAATTTGTTACGATAACCTAAGCCACTTTGATGCACACATTTGACGCGAAAATTCATTCGTGCACCAGTCCTTGAGCTTTTTCAACAGGCAGTATATTCATAAAGCACATTTTTAAGCTGATTGATTCGAGTGTTCGGTTTCAGGTGTGGCCGGTGCCCGAACGAGCAACAGCACCCAACGCCAACAGTCCGTCCCATCGGTGGCGCACAGGTTACCGTATTTCGTGCCGCCGTTGCCGGCCGCGCAAGCCCCGCGGCTCGAGGAGAACCCTTACGAGAGCGTGCCGGTGCTAGGTCAGTTGCATCGCTACTCCAGCCAAAACAGGAGCGGCAAGGAACGTTCGCGCAGCAAGTCCGGCGACAAGTACAAGTACCTGTCGTCGCAGCAGCAGCAACAACAACAGTACAGCGGCGACTTCTACGGCCTTCAGGGTCAGTCCGACGCCACGGCACCGCTCTACACCCAGGTGGGCGGCGAGTACTCCGACACGTACTCGCAGCCAAGCGACCGACTCTTCGGCGACGACAAGTACAGCCAACCGGTGTATTATTCCAACACCCGGGACTCGGACCAGGTGAGCGCCGGCAGGCTGTACCAGGGTCAGCCCGACAGCAGCTTCGGCAGCGACAGCGGCTACAGCCACCACACCTCAGGCACCACCGGCACCAGCGGCACCCGCGGCAGCAACTCCAGGACGAATCATCGCAGGGACAAGCACCGGAACTCTCACCACTCGCATCACTCCGCGGACTATATCGTGTCCTAATGGGGCATCGTCTCTTCATCTCGAGAGAAAGGGTTTCCTTCGAGACGTACTCTCACGGAGAGCGGAGAAAAAAGAAGAGAAGCAAGAGAAGGAAAGAGGATACAAGACCTCGATCGTATTTCTTACAAGTCGATCAGTTAATAAGACGAAGAGACGAGCGTGCTCGTTAATTGAGAGGCTCCGATTTCGCAGGGAGAAACACACTTCGGCTGTGTTGAACTATTGTATTTTGATACTTCAACGTCCACGGTTAAGAGTCAATAAAGATACCTCCTTCGCTTTGGCGAATCGAGTGGTAGCGGTTGAGTGCGTGCACGCGCGCGTGAAAGAGAGCAAGAGAGTTTGTCGCAGTGACGAGAAAAACCACAAACGAATGACGATTCGGACTTGATGAGAAGAAGGACACAGTGATCTCTTAGTGATTTATATAGCCCACACGCAAGACTATTTAACAAATTTATTTGTAATCCAATGAGACTCAGGCTGGTACCAAAGGACGCTAACAATTACTTTTATCTTTTTAGTCTGATCCTTTGTAATTTATATGTAGAGAGCGTTTATCGCAAAACGAGTCGATCTCGTTCTCGTTGTAACATTGTCGCCCGCGAGTCGTACGACTATCAATCGTGAATTCCACAACGTCCGGGATACCCTCGGTGATCAGTGCGATTATTGCACTTGCAAGTAAACGATAGATAATTTTGCAAATAGACAAATAGTACGAGAAATACTCCGAATCGAAATCTGCCTAGTCAAAAATCTGTGCATTCTGTTTTAAATATTGTATCTGAAGCCTGATATTGTATCGGGACCGAATTGAAATCCAAAATACGTGAGTTTTGAAAATGAAATCTATAAAAAAAGCAACAAGTCGAAAACACTGGTATCTTTTACTGAAATATATTTTGGAAAGATACTCTTACCGTAAAATTTAGCTTAATATTCCAAATATTGAGAGAATTCAACATAATTAAATTCGGAAAAAACATAAAACTATGTCAAAAACGTATTATGATGTATATTTCATTTAGGATAAATCATGCAGATTGCGGACTCGAAGGGGTTTTGATTATGGGTGCTTTATGGTCAGATTAACCGATCCACTGCCAGAGACTAATCCTAAACGGTCGGGCGTGTCCAACCGGCCAGCGAGTTTCGTACAAACTTTGATATGACGAAACGTATAATTAGATTCGTCCCGCGTTCATAAGGACAAATCCGATCGCGTGTACAGGAAACGATAGATTATTGCGCCACGTTTCTAGTCCGTTAATAATCTTTTCCTACTAACAATGCTTTAGAACGTCCCCACACGAAACGGCACACGCACGTTTTGACAGTTTGGAGAGATGTAGTGATAGACGCACGCACGGTAGAGTAACACTGAGGAAAAAAACGATGCACGTTGGAGTCTTTGGCTAATGTACACATAATATATACACAATGGATATCGTAAAAATGTGCAAAATATGTGTAAAAGAAAAACAAAACCAAACAATTTTAGAATTCCTAGTATGAAATAATTATATACACATATTTTTTGCTATTTTAATCAAGTTTAGCGTTTCAAATGTCTATCTGAAAAAATAAATGATGAATCAAATATATAATTGATATATGGCAATTGTTGCTATGAATTGATATTTCACGATTATGATATGGAAGATGAATACTATTATTTGCTCTTATGTTCGATCTTTCAGGTGAAATAATTTAAACGAAACTATTTTAATATTTAAATTATTTAATTTCGCGTATAACGTGACATAATAGGATATTTGCAATCCTTTATGAATCATCTTATTTAGACTCCAGCGTGCACAAAAGACGATACCGAAAAGATGATTGTAGATGCCATCGCATTGCTACCACCATTACTGCCGCTAGATGCATGTGTTCGCGCAATCACGACCAAAAATTTAAGCGCGCCGAAACCTTTTATTTTTGTAATTCCTAAGAGTATTGCTCGGGTCGCAAAAAGCGGCTCGGGAAGACTTGATCTCCGAGGAGAAAATTGGCCGGCTCTTTTTTAGCTCGAAGAAGCTCCTGGATAAAACTCGATTCGCGTACACTACGCGTGAACGCGTCGCTCCCTTCGACATATTGGATGTCGCCGTCGTCCACAAATTCTCCTCCACAATTCGACATGACATTTTCGATTGCGACCGCGTGTTCTCGGAGCTGGTAATAACTGTAGTTACGCCGCGACTGCGCTAACGAAGTCGATGTTACTGCCGTTAATAACATAACGAGGGCCTCTGCATCATGAGAAATTCAAGAGCCGAAATTCACGATAGTCCCGTAAACCATTGCTGCAATCTCCCTCTTCCCCTTCTTCCCCCGTCTATTCCAAATCCTCATTTTGGCGAATACCGGTGTCATTGCGGACAAAGGCCCGGCCGGGTGACTCTAGCGCGCAAATGACGCAAATTACCCTCATTCATTATTAACTAAACTATTATCGCAATCGGGCTCAGGGTCGTTATTATATCGCGCGCTGATATCAATAACCTTCGACCGATGTAACATAAACCGATTGGTAGTCGTAAATAGAAACGACTCGCGGAGCGCTTCGATTGCGGTAAGTCGACGTTAACTTATTCTTCGAGATGCTACTTTATCCCATCATAAAAAGGCGATGTAATCCTATATTTATCTATATTACGATTCTCTTGTAATATACAGATGTAATCACGTGCTTTTTATTATAATTCTGATATAACATAACTCTTGTATAATGATTCTTTTTTTAATATGCATTTATAAAACACACGCAATTCTGCGTAAAATGATTGAACAGATTGTTACCATCAGTATAACTTAATGCAAAAGATAGAACATCTTCCAATAAATTGTAAACAAATTAGGAACTGTAAGATAAATTAGGAAAGAAAATTTTGATACGCAGACATATTAACACTTCTTTTTTCATTTTTATGGTGGTATGAAGTACGCTTGAAGCTACGAAATGATCAAGTTTTTGAACATGTAGTTCCGAAAAGATCCACTCGTCGATTTTTGTGCGACATTTAAGAAAATTGTTCCAAATGCTTCCACATGTGAACATACTTCACAAATACAAAGTTTTTGGATACACACAGGATTTAGTTGAATATTAATTAGATAAAATTGAAACTTACTTCCTTAAATTTTATTCAATTTACTTATTTACTCAACGCACGAATATTTCACCTCCTTATAAATTATCAATAACTCTACAATATAAAAAAGCTGGAAACAATAGCAGAAAGAATACTTTCATGATATCTTATAAGAATCGAGGAGTGGAATTTGAGGATTGCAACCGTTTTTGGTACTCTGCAAGATAGACCAAGACGAGAAGGGGACGCGAGACAGCAAGAGAGAGAAAGTGTTCGTGCTGAGATGTACAGGCACACGTTAGCACACCGTATAAATACCGCTATCTCTTATACATACCGCACTTGTAAGAAAGTAAACGATAATTGGCGAGCCATGTAAATAGAGCCGGGGGAAACTCCACCCGTGTAGCATAGCTGTATCATAGCGATATCATTACCGAAATCTTTTCCCGTGCGTGCGTGCAAAAGGGCGAGAAAATTGAAATTTAATATATACATAAAAAACTATATATAAAAAGAAAAAGAGAGAGTGTGTGTGTGTGTGTGTGTGTGTGTGTGTGAGAGAGAGAGAGAAAGAGAGAGAGAGAAAGACGAGGAGATATAAATAGAATAATATAATTTTTAAATTATTTGTAACGACGGGCGCGTGCGCATCGCGACTATAGCAATGTGACAAATGCGACGAAAAAGAGGAAAAGACGGAGAACTGAATAGATCTTTCCTTTTTCGGAGCGAGAGGATGGAAGGACGATGAATCAAAGGACTAAAGGCAAAGGAAACGTCGTGTCCTCTTGAGCGTCGGGAGTTTCCCTCTCGCTCCTCGAAATAGTGCACACTCTTTTTCTAGACGCGCCTAGGGCGAATACCTCAACACAAAGAAGTAATCACTCTGTTGTAAATATAATTTTATATATGCGAGCCGCGATCAGGGTGGTTTGCGCGATCGACGCAACGGGGCTGGTTTAAGACCGTCATAATCATTAAAGCTTCGGGGCCCAAAATGATAGCACTGTCACTGGAAAAAGAAAACAACTTATCTCTCGTTCAATGAGCGCAATTCTAACACACACTATGAAATTATTAAACAAATTACTTCGAGATAGGTTAGTCCATCATACGACGATTATATCGTACCAGATCGTCCATCTTACTTAACATTAGCACTTTCATCGACCAATAACTTGGTCGGATGAAAATATTTATAAAAAAAAGAAAACAAAAACAAAGAAAAGAAAAGATCTGGACATCCAGAAGTTTCGTACAAAATGAAGGCGTTATTGAATACTTCTGATTTTGTAAAATCGAAAAAATAACCGGCCCTGTGGTATAGTTCCAAAACGATATCACGCGAATATTAATTTCGCGAGTCGAAATTGCGCGACGCAACGACTTGCTTGTGTTTTTCTATGGAAAATTCGAATCGCCCGAGTTTACATTGCACGGTAGGGACTTGTTGATCGCACAACACTAGCGGTGAAGTTATACCGACGTGACGTTCTCGAAAGTCATGCTCTCGATTATGGATCTTCCACGCCGATCCCACTAAATATAGCAATAATACTCGCAATAATAGCACAGTATAGCTTTTTACCCCTTCATTACCTTTAAACTCCGTGTCTGAATGAATTGCACAAGTATATCTGATATCCTCATCAGTCTAAGAACAATCAAGGCGCCGACGTCCCACCAGTGTGCTGCTAATTATTTTCTCGGGATGTTCCGTGTATCGTCGGACTCATCAAGTTTACAGAAGATTAGCTAGATTTACTAAATAAATTAAATTGTTTAAGAAAACACGAAGAGTTACTTCCCGTACTCATTTAATTTTTGTAGTAACGAAAGTTACTTCTTTTATCAATAAAACTCTTCGACTTTATTGTGACAAACTGGCAGCAATTTACCAATAAAGTATTATTTAATTAAATTGAATTATTTATTAACAATTTATAGAGATAGAATTGACGAATCGTTTTGACGCGACTATATAAATTTCGCTCCAACTTATATATCTAAAGTTTTTCGAATTCCAAAAGGAAGCTTTCACCTAAAACCAAGGAATCTTGTCCCAATAAATTGATTAGCACGATATTTTTTGAATTAATTTAAAATTTAATGCTTCCCCCTCATCCCACTCTGTCATACGCTTTGCCGCGAAGGATACATTCAAGCCGAGAATAAAATAGATAAAAGTTTTGACTGTATATATGAGAAAAGTGTAGAACAGTTATCGTTATTGCAAATGATTTTCTCGTTGAATAGATAGTACAAAAGAATTGAGGAATGATCACATGATATATCCGAAGGATATTTTTACAGTGTCCTACAACATTCGCTCTAGATCTACGCTCATCTATTTTAGTATCTGTGACTCGAATTCCTCTCCGCGTAGCGGCGATTATCCGCGAGAGCATGACTGGCTGGAGCGCGAGAAGGGAAACGGGAGGAATAAAGGTGTACAGTGTGTACTTATCACTCACGATCAAAAATAAACACTGCATACAATCAAAGCGCGCATGACGCGAGTCGCCGCGAAAGTGTAGAGCGACTCGGAGATCAAAGAAGATCAGAACAAGGAAAGAAAGAAGGAGATGTGTACTGGAGAAAGCGAGAGGCAGACCGAGAGTTACGCGCTTATGTATTTTCTTACGTCCATGTTGGTTAAGCGATGTTCTTGTTTTCATTTTATTTACTTTTTCTTTCTTGTATACAGCCTGTATGATACGTACGCCAGAAGCCTAAGTTATTATTGTTCTTACTTAAGAAAGACGGAGGAGGTTTCGATCGAGCGTGGATCTTTGTTGCGAAGTTTGCGATTAATTGTTGCATGTCGAGTATAATGAGCGAATGAACGATGCGCGCATAAAGCAAGCCATACATGGTCCATAAGTAGCGTAACGAAAGGATTATGGCATAAATCGAGTGCGAGTTCACGGATGATTATTTCCTGTCAAACGCTCGAGTCACACATTTATATGCAAATTGGCTGCGTGAAATATTTTGAATGGATTTATCTCTTCACGGGCATTTATTTAAAACCGAAACATAAGTGTTTCTCGTCGAATCGTACGCGACGTGTGACATTTGTTTCTAAATTTTGCGATTTAAAGTCGTACGTGTCTGAATGTCTCGGATCTTAATTTGCAACCCACTTGCGAGATCATGTATGGACGCTTCTCGTACTTACGCATCGAGACGTTTAATTTGTAAGACTGCCGTTTTCCGTTCGCCATCTCGACGCTTTTCGTTATCCCACGTACATAGCACGTGCGCGAGGATAGCGGGAGCACTTACGGAGGGAAAATGTGAGGGGAGAAATTGGAGAACGGAGGAAGAAGAAAGGAAGGAGAAAGAGGGAAAAATAAAGGAATAGGATGTACGAACGAAAGCTAGAGATAGAGAACGTTTTCTTACCTTTTGAACGCGTATACATGTCGCGAGATTATTATTTATTGTTGCGTTTCAAGGGGCGCCGGGGGCTCTCCGCTCCCGTCGCTCCCGCAGCAGCCACACTTCGGTGCCGCTAATTTCTCAGCGGCGGTTTTAGCGCTATAGGCAGAACAGAAGACACAATACATAGGCACTAGAGTACCTCGAAAGGAGATAACAAGTAGCATCTCTTGAAAGTTAGCTCGCACGGGCGTTCCGCTCCTCTGTCGCATCGTACTCCGCCCTGGAGACCTCGAATAATGCTGACGATCGACGTTCCAATCCACGTACCAGCCGCACGTTTAGCGTGTTCTATTCGCGACTTTTGTCCCATTACTGAGATGAGACGCGCATTTGGAAAAGTAAAACAAGATTCTAATTAGAGCTCCAAGTATCCGGATATCTAATTATCTGGCTCTATCCGAGATCGATTCCATAATCCGAAAACTCAACACCGTACTATTTGGATCTAAATTCAAACCATAAGAAGAAATTAAAATTTGGATTCAAAACCAAAATCCGAATCTAGAACCGAGATCGAGAATTGAATTTATGCTCGAGTTAAATAAAAAAGAAACGGATAAGTAAAAGGATTTTGATTTAATATCGAACATATTTAAATACCTTATTTCGCTTGCTTATTATTAATTCTTGCTGGATCATACATGAACACGCTTACTGTAAAAAGGATTGATCAATTTAATAACAGAATTATCCGAAATTATTTACTTACATAAATAGGCACAATTATCTCAAATTAAATCGTTAAATTGCAGTTAAAAATATTGACTTATTGATTGTCAAATTTTCAAGAGGGACTTAGATGTGTCGGTTTATTCGATTTCCTTGCGAACTTAGATCCAGATCCGGATTCAATGCTTCAACTGTTCGAGTATCTTAGAAAATTCGAATCCCCGAGTAATTCGAATTTGAATCGTCATACCGTTTATCACTGTAATTGGCGTTAAATGCACGACAATGAATTGCGCTTCGTGCTGAGAATCGTCCCGATTATATCGAGCGCTAAACATGCGGTTTGAACACTAGTATTTTGCCTCATCTAATTTGCGCTCGATACGAATTAGAGTACCGCTTATTCCGATCTCACTTCGAAGATAATTCAGTTGGAATCACTAGTTTCTCCTACTAAAGAATTAACGTCAGTCTAAAGCAAACGACGGGATTGAGAAGTCGATCGTCGGCCAACGACGAGAAGTGTCCTTGTGGGATACTCCTCGCGGGAGGTCGACTGGGATCTGCGTCGACGGAAGAGAAGAACGCCAGCTCGCAGAACAGGGTAACTAGCTCTAACATCTATCTCTTACATCAGCTAAGGAACAAGAAGCTCTGTCACACTCGTTCACGTCACGGCATCACGTTACCACGGTCTGCATCTTTAATCACGAATGTCGACCGAGGCCAATCTCGAGACACTATCACATACCTTCGTACTAATAAACGATTTACTATTGGATTTCATTGGGATGTCTATCGTTATTTTCACCTGATCATATCACGCTTATATTCCTCACAAGAAATCCGTCGAATTCCTTCCTAAGTGTCGCGTCGCGACTTACTTCGCATGTGTCGTTTGCGGCTGTTAAATTATTACGTAAATTTTGACAGCTTTCGAGAGTTTACCTTGGTAAAAAAAGTTTATAGAGAACAATAGAATAAAATTCTATCGTTCTATTGTTTTTTATTGTTTTGAATATGGATTTTGGTTCGTGAAATGTGAATATTATTCTATCATATACAATAGATAAGAATACAATAGATAAGATAGAATTTCTATCGTTAGTTTCCTATAGAATACAAAATCGTATATAATGATTATTTTATTCTACCATTCTCTGTAAACTTTTTTTACCAGGGTGATGTTAAAGAAGATGAAGAAAAGGAAAGAGGCAGAAAGAGGAAAAAAGAGAAAGAGAAAGACAAAGAGAGAGAGAGAGATGTATTTAAAAAATATTTAAATTTTTATACACATCTTGTCATGCATGTTTTACTATTGTAATTAAAGTTATTTGTATTATTTTTTATTCTATACATGTGTACGAAACTAAAAGTCGTGTAACTTTCAATGTAGGAAATAGTAAAGCATACATGATGCAATGTATATATTTTATGTAAATATGCACGCAGATATATTTCCCGCAAAAAGAATAAGGGGATCCCACTTTGAGAAACTATAATTCTCCCTTATAGAAATATCATACTAAGAATTATTGATAATTACTTATTTTTAGTATTAAAAATACTGGATAATAAGTAATTATCAATGATTCTTAGTATGATATTTCTATAAGGGCTGCAAATACACGATAAAAATTAGTAGTGTCAAAACTGAACATATTACAGCTTGGAGCATCATTAAATATATTACACATATGTAAATACAAATTTGTTCATAATGTTATGTAAAGTAGACAAATGCGCGCGTGTTAAACAGAATGTAAGATATATGAGACCGCGTTCTTTTTATTCGTGAAAATTGTAGATGTAGCAAGGACATGAACCAAGTCGCAACTTCACCGATGTTACCAAGAAATAAACACAACTAAATAGATCTAGAGAATGAACACAGATGGCGAATCAGACAGTCGACTGCAGCGACATCAGTTGCATCGAACACCGCCAAGTGCTTTATAGCCGAAATTATCTGAGAAATACCTTCCACTCTAATGATATCGTCGACGTAGTTATTTTCGGGCTTCTCTTTGCTCATATTCATCACGAACTGTCAAGCACTTATAAACGTTAGCATTAAACAAATGTTTGAAGAATGTTCAAATGTCGGGCACACGCGTTTGTAACACTTGATTAAGATGATAACCATGTTTTGGAAATAACGAGTACGATAGAACGAATCATTTAGTTATGTCAAAGTGACCACGCCGAACAAGTCAGAATGGAAGCTAGAAATTCGACGATACTGGAATCTTCGCCAGAGGATACTATGCTGTTTGAAACTGTGAAAAGCTTAATAAAGCGAGATCGTAAAGAAACGGAGAACGAAGATGACTTCTTCCTGGTGTCGCAGGTTCAAGAGACGCAGTACTCTGATACAAACGTCAAGGAAGAAACATCGCACAAACATCAAATGGAAGAAACATATCAGTGGATGAATCTTTGCAGAATATGTGCCAATGCTAATGATCATTTGATACCTATTTTTGAGGGAGAAGGAGCAGAACTTGACTTATCTAATAAAATACTCAAGTACCTGCCAATACATGTATGTATAATGTAAACTGTTATAACATACTTCAATCAAGCACTGAATCAAGCACTGATGAATGTGAATTATTTATCTATAGATATCTAGAAGTGATACTTTGCCATTACAATTATGTTATCACTGTGCAGTCACAATATTGGCTTGGCACGAATTAAGTAAAGATTGTCTAAATGCGGAGAAAAAGCTCTTGGAAATGCAGCACTTGTTGCAAGATAAACAGCAGGTAAAGCATGTTTGTAAATAATTAATCTTTGAGAGAAAAGCTTATCTAAGTTTAATAAATGAGCATATATTGCATTTTGTAACATTTATTGATCTCCATTATGGGGTTACAATATTCATAACAATTCTTTCTCCTCGCTACGCACACACACACCTCCATACCCTACCTCTTACATCTAATCTTACAACTAAATCTTACATCTAACTTAAATCTAACTTACATAACCATATATCTAACCATATATTGCATTTTGATTACATGTTTTATAAATCTTGCAGGTTCACAACGATGTACCTTTGATTAATTTGGATGTTTCCACACCAGTTACTTCATCAATCTCAACCATATCTAACATAACAATTTCACAAGTAAGTTTACACGATAAATATGAAAAATATAACCATCTTGCATTAAGAAATTCAATTAAATTTTTTTATTGCAGACTGATCAAGCCAATTGCAAAAATAATACACAAGATACAGAAGAAATTAATAAATTTAACAGGTAACAGGTTATTTTATTTTTCTATAATATACAACTTAATGCAAAAAGCAATATTCTACATCCTGTTGTCCTTGTACATAAATATAATTTTTATTATAATTGCAATTTAGTGCATAAATAAACATTTAAGAAAGGTATAAGATGGAGTAGGACACTCTCAAAAGTCAGAATATTTTTAGAGAAAATACATACTCTAACATGTAGGTGATAAAATATAATGGATAAAATAAGTGTCATTGTGCTTATTCCATTCCATGTATCTTGAAAGAAAACATAAATATTATTTTACACTGAATATAAAGACCAATTATGACACATTATAATAAATTTTGACTCAATTAATAATTTCCTAAAAGAAAGTTAAAGAACTAATTTGCTGGCATTGGGCAATCCAAGAAAATTTTTTCATCTGTTTAACAAAAGATTCCAAACAAAACATGAGATGTGTATAATAAAATATTTATATATACATATATATGTTTATACAGGGTGTTCAAAAAGTCTCGGACCGGTGAAATATCTCGAAAACTAAGCATTTTAGAAAAAAATGTTTCAGATAAAAGTTGTGGCGTTTAAAAAGATGTATTTACTGATCACATCAGTTTGACCTTGGGTTGCGTAGCGAAGGTCAGGTCAAGGTCACATTAATTTTTTTAAAT